AAGCCAGGTTCAACTTTCAATTTAGCATTAATGTACTATAAATAGTGGCTAAGCCAGGTTCAACTTTCAATTTAGCATTAATGTACTATAAATAGAGACTTGAATAAGAAATTGGAACTGTCTAAACTATCTTTTATTCTCTTGGATACATATTTATAAGTGGATATATATTTAGACTTTCAAAATGCTTGCTTTTATCTTAGAAAATTAGAATGTATCATACAAGAGCATATTAATTCAGATATAAATTATTTCTGCAGATAGCTTTATATGAAATTTTTCCTACTGTAGAATTTTCAATGTTATTTGGGGGAGTTAAAGAAATCTAGTAAAACTTATTAATGTTTTCTTAACGTAAAAGTAATACAATCAGTTTTTGTTTGTGAGGGAAGGAGAGAAAAGAAGGGGCTGAATAAAACTCAAAATTCAATAAAACGACACCTTTTTATTTATTTTTTGAGTCTTTCCTTCTTTTTTACCCACATAAATGTCTTGATTCCAGATGGGACTGAGAAGTCATCCGCCAGAACAGAAAAGCAATTAACAGATCTTACTAAAACCTTACAGGGTTATAGCATTTTTATATTTCATAATGTTATAACACTGAAGGTACACTACTTTTTAGTCTAATACTGAAGTTTTAAAGCACTCATCAAAATCTGTTATGTGATTGATATAAGCCTCCTTTAAATTTGAAGAAGTTAATGACATTTTGCTAATTCACCATTATCTATAGCCTGAAATTCATCAGTATGATTTCATATCACTTAGAAATCAAACTCTTCCAAAGAAAGGTGGAGGTGCTTAAGAATTTTCCCCCAAGCAAGAATGGAGATCACAAGAGCTTTGCACATACACCCTCCCCACTGTGTCTGCCCAGTGGGACATGGCCCCTGCCCAGATGGCTCGGGTACCAAGGCTTCCATTCTGATGAGGAAACAAAAGAGTAGAAAGGAACTACTGCCAAGCTGCAGCTGGACAGGCAAAGAGCTTCACTTGCTCTCTGTCTGGTAGAGAAATGTGAGAAAGACACCCAAACCATACCCACCAGGACTCAAGCTCCTTGCCAACTGTGTGTGTCAAGGAGGTACTTCAATTCCTCCCTGTTTCAAAATAGGCAGGAATATATATAAATAGGCAAAATATATATAAATCTCAGCACGGGAACTATGTTCTCAAAGTGGACCAAGGTTGGTCTCTAGAGGGCATTTTTAAAGAGAAGCATGTACTGCTCCAATGCCCTTAGGCACGCTTACAGTCTCAATACAACAGGCAACAGGGACACTGCTCATTCATAACTGGGCAGAGCAACATGTGGTTTCCTTCTCTGAAGCGCTGTTGGCATTCGCTGCTGCGTGCCATTCATCCCTACACGTCAAATGACTGGAATGTTCTTATAATAATGTAACTGTTCCTCAGGAGCATCTGGACTGCAGCTGCCTGTCACCTAAGATACACATGCAGAGTGCCACACATCATCCCCTTTCCTAACTCTGCTAAGCCTTATTTAATACCACAGGAACCGCCTATTCTTCAGTGCTAAGTGCCACTGCCAATGTGTCTGAAATAGAAAGAGTTCCTGGGTTCCTGATGAACAACAGGTATAGAGCAGGAGTTGCCGTGGTCCAGGTTAGAAGCCAACTAAAAGGCTACTTCAAAGTCCGCTGTTTTTTTTCCCTACAATGTTATTTATAAGGGAAAAAAAACCACGAAGATTTATTTTATAGAAAGGAGGCATTTGTTTCTATCAAAAAGGGCTTGTCTCTTCCTTTCAATGACAAGAACTGTCTAATTCAATACCATACCAACAAGGAAATAGAACTAAGCCCAGTGGGGAACCTAATAGTAAATTAAACCTGCATGGCTCCAAAGCATATGAGTCATGAACTCCAATGTTCTAAAGCTCAAGGAGGATATAGGCAAAACCTAATGTTAGTGGAACAAAACAATTCACAGCTGTGCATGTAATAACCATTCTAAAGAAACCACCCTCCCCCCGCCAACTACAGATGAGGACTGCCACTGTGGCATTCTAAAGATAGGCAAACACAGAAAGTGGGACACTGAAGACCGAGAACTCTGAGATGGGCAGACTGTGACAGGGAGGAGAGCACAGCACTGACTGACGGGCTGAACACGTCAGACAGGTACCACCAAGGCATACCAGGTGCACCCCAGTCTCCTCCATATGGAAATGACATTAAGTGGCAGAAAGAACTCCATGGCCAGCTCCCCTGGGTCTGGTTTCTACAGACAAGCAACAGTGATTTCTGAAGCTTTACTTGTTTATTGTAGCTATTTTCATGATAGGAGGGGAGGGTAAGAGCGCGGGTTTTGGATTAAGGGAAATTTGGATTTAAATACCAGTTCAGTCACTTCTTGAAAGTTATTCAAATTCTATAAGCATCAGCTGCCTCATCAGTTAACACTGACAGTATTCATTCTCCTTGGGCAGTTATAAGGATTAAATAAAACAAAATCCAACAGTGCATATGAAGCTCTTAGCACAATGCTCAAACTATAGGTATTATTAAATTATGAAAAATCAGACACTGTAGTATCACTTACTTGTGGTAATTCTCCTTTTTCTCATCTCTCCAGTTTTTATTTAACTGGTGAATTTTCACAGCTACATATCTTTGCTCTGTTAGATCAAATGCCTGTAAAGAAACAGAATATATTATATTCTGGATAAATGCTAACAAGAATTACAGGCAACAGACTTAAAGCTTCTATTTAACAGATAACATAATGAAAGTCCAAAATGCATTATTAAATAAAAACGGCACCAAAGACAACACATCACATACTTGTTTCAGTGTTGCAATCATCTTCTTGAAACTTGTGATTAGATAATTTAGAAGTCTCCAGACACACTGGCACCAAGGGGTTTAGAACATAAAGCCAAGCATACACCACAAACAGAAAGACAGCCCTGCCTTAACAGTCATTTCCCAACAATTCTCTTTCTGGACACCATCTATTTCCATTTGGGACCTTCCTCCCTTAGGATGTCTCTTGTCTCTCAGCTGAAACTGGGCTTTACATGCTTCAAGTCCTGTCACTTTTGAAATCACAGGGACACACACTGCCTGCCTCCTGGAGAAAATAACCCCTTAGGATATACCTATTTGGTTATGACTGTTACAAAATCACACTGCAATTTATTGTGTTTATTATTATAAAATAAACTATATATTTATATATCATAAAATAAAACAGAATCGAAAACAAAAGAACAGCCCTGCCTTTAGTCCCACCCCATTTACCTATATGCTGGGTACATGAAAAGCAGTTTTTAATTCCAACAAAGTCTGAAGTTAGTCACACCAAGTCACTTCTCCAGCACTGTCCAGAGAAAGGGACAGGCCTTCCCCAAAGATTATCACCGCTGGCAAGTCCTGCATGAGCTAGGCAGTGCATGAGGTAAAACAGGTAACCAGTGGATATTTCAGGAAGTTGGGTGTAAAGCACAATTTGATAAAGTAATATTTTAATACAATAGGAGACTTCACCTATACAAAAGAATTTACTATCTTAAAGAGATTAAATTCATTTAAAAACCAAGAAGTATAGGCAAAAATAAAAATTAAAAAACATTTATTGGGGAGCTCTTATAGAATGATTAGTTTTTCTTAGTTTGTGAAGTTCAGATAAAAAGCTTACTACTTCAGTTCCAATACCGTCACCACCATCACCAGTTTCTACAAATGTACAAACCGACGAAGGCAGCAGGTGCAAGGCACTGCCGAACTGTGGCGATCCCTGCTTTACAGATCTTTCCAAACATAAGCTCCTCGAGGTATGGACTCTATGTAAAAGAGGGCTGCTTATAAAATAGAGAAACTTCTCATTTATACTCAATTAAAACCAGCATCTTTTAAAAGTACAAAAACCACTCAATTCAGATATAACTTAGTTCACAGAAATGGAAACTTTTGTGCTCTATTTTTCTTACACAATCTGATGTTCACCTGTGAGCATGTACACCACCATGGCTTTAGAGTAGAAAAACCACTTTAAGCCATTAAAAATGAGATTAAATACAACCCGATTTATAAGAGCACTAATGCTATCAAGTGTCACTCTCTCCAACTACCACACTGTACTTATGAATCCAAGACACTGTGACCCACCATTGACTGAGTGGAGAACAGCAAAAGAATAATTACATTAAATGCACATACCATTGTAAGAAGCATCTAGATTTCAGAAATATTAAAATGTTTACAGAAATATGATTGGGAAAAATAGGATGATGAAACCACTAAAAGTAACTCAGAAGCATCGAGAACCAATTTTGATGATTTTAAAAAAGGAACAGTCCCACTTCTGGGTATATATCCATAAAAATGGAAAGCAGGGTCTTCAAGTGATATTTGTATACACCCAAGTTCTAAGCAGCGCTATTCACAATAGCCAAGAGGTAGAAACAAAACAAGTGTCCATCAATGGAGGAATGGATAAACAAAATGTGATACATACAACAGAATACCACTCAACTATAAAAAGGAAGGCAATCCTGTCACAGGCTGTAACATTGATGAACCTTAAGGACATTATGCTTGAAAACAGGGTAAAATATTGTATCCTGCTTAGTCACATAAGTTTGTTGGAAGCTGTTTTCCCAAAGATACAAGTTTTTAAAGTTTCTGAATTTCAACCAATGGATAACAACCCACAATTATCACCATTCTAAATGTTCTCCAAGTTGGTAACAGCCAATAATTTAACCTTCAGTCTTTATACTCAGTTCCTTACACTCACCTTGTAAACTTCACTGAAACCTCCTCTACCCAAAAGATGTAACAACAAATATCTGTCATTTAGTGTTGGATGATCTTTAAATCTGTAGAAACAAGGAATATGTAACATTCTGAGATCAAAGACTACACTCTTTCATATTTGCAAAATTCCCAAAATATTTAACACACTATACATGTGATTATAGTTGCTGATGGTACTTTGGCAATTAATAACAAAATAGGAAATTGTGAGCATAAAGTTACACAGTTCAAAGAGGCAGCATAATTACAATGAACAGCAATAGCTATAGAGCCCCAGGATACAGGTGCTAGTCTCAGAGTAGCCACACTGGACACATGACCTTTCTAGATTTCCCTCCCTTTCTGCCCAGCTATAAAATGGGAGTAGATTAGACTAGATTAGGGATTTTCGAACTGTGCTATTTGGCTCCTCCAAATGATTCAAGAGCCACATGTTCCCACCATTTCAAACACACAGTAAAATTCCAAGACATTTTATACTGCCTTAAAAACGGATTTATCAAGTGAGTTACATGTTCTATGTGCATTCATTATTCTCTCTTTAAGACAGAAAGTCTATGATATAACTGTGTTCCCCATATAAAATTTCACCTTGTGTTATTTCCTAACAACATGACGGAGAAATGACAAATTCCAGCAAAAAAATAATTTATAATTTTTTTTCAGAGACAGGATCTAGCTCTGTCACTCAGGTTGGAGTGCAGGGGCACAATCATAGCTCACTGCAGCCACAAACTCCTGGGCTCAAGTGATCCTCCTGCCTCAGCCTCCCAAGTAGCTGGGACTATAGGCATGAGCCACTGAACCTGACTAAAAATAAATTTTAAAATATTTTTACCTAGTTCCTAATCTTAAACAGCCCCATTATTCACCTGAAATTATTGTGATTTTAAGAAAGCAGCACGCCTGTGGGGAGAGACGCATGACTGCATGGTGGTTTGGATCAGAAAGATCCAAGTTTGACTCTTTGTTTGGTCACGTTAGTTATGGGTCCCGGCTCAAGTTGACTTAATTTCAATAAGCTTGTTTCCTGATCGATGTATTGATGATGACTGAGTTATCGGGAGGATTAAATGAGAGAATGTAAAGGCACTTTAGCACCATGCCTGATACACAGAGAGTGCTCAGTAAATGAGAACTGCTGTTGTCTTCCACTTTACAGAAAGAAAGGTCCATGCCTCACATTAGCCAAACAAAAATACATAAGCTGTGGCTATGTGAGAAAATGTTTGAGAGTCAGAAAAATGTGGGAAAGAACAGATTACTTATGAAAGGGCTTTCCCACTGGCAACTACTTTTCCCAGTTTCAGTCCTTTAAATGACTTATAAACAAAGGTGGGTGTTAATCTACAATCAATGTGCTGAACTTTAGAGTTTTACTTAAAATGTCAAACCCTGAATGGCCCTTAAAGCTCATTCAGAAACTGAGTGTCATCTCATCCCAATACTCTTTCCACAATTTCACACTAGTGACCCAAGATTCCCTTTCTAAAGCTCTGTAGTAAAATCTGAATATGCAGTGTATATCAATTATTTAAGATTGCAAAGCCATATTGTTTTAGTGACCTCCACTCACGTAAAAATGTTGTATGTATATAAATGTAATATACTACTTAATAAATTTAATATTTATATATAAACCAAAGTAAGTCATAATCTTGTTCATAAAACTATATTATACAAAAGAGATACATACACTGTGGAATCATTTACCAAATTTATATTAAGCAAAAACATCATTCTAGACCATTCAATTCATGTCATTAGGTGCTCAGTAATCTCCAATCCAATAAACCCCCAAGTTGCTTACTGTGAATTATCTTCATTATGTATCCTTTTTAGTTCCCTGATATGTAGATTTCTAACCCTTTCTAGCCTTTCCAGCTCTGCCTGGATCTCTGCTTCCTCCTAAAGTGAAAAGGAAAGAAATAGTTCAGAATATAGAGCACTTCACCTTTTCAGAGTCTCATTTCAAAAACAACAGAAATTCTCTGTGAAAAGTTAAAGGAACATGCTTTACGTTGAAAAAGATTTGTTTTTAAGAACTAGAATTTCAATTATAAAAATAAACCCAAAGAAAGCAATAAAATCCAAACCATACAGAGGAACACAGTGGGAAAGGCAAAAGTTCTATACCCTCTTCTTCCCTCTTCTCCATGCCCAACTCCCCTGCTATAACCCCTGTTAAGTTTCTTGTATAAGTTTTCAGAAACGTTTTGTGCATATAAATATAGGTATGCAAACATTTTTTACAAAAATCAGGTTCCCTTGTGAATATGCAGTGTATACCAATCATTTAAGATTGCAAAGCTATATTGTTTTAGTGACCTCCACTCATGTAAAAATGCTGTACGTATACAAATATACTTAATAAATTTAACATTTATATATAAGCCAAAGTAAATCATAATCTTGTTCATAAGACTGTATTATACCCTACAAAAGAGATAAATACACTGTGGAATCATTTACCAAATTTATATTAAGCAAAAACATCATGGATTATATACTTGATTCCTTAAGTTCTACTTCTACTTATTTAATAAGATCTGAGAACCCAGTAGAAAAAAGATTATGAAAACCAATATGAAATAACACACTACACACCACCCTCCAATAGCAGTTTAGTAATTCTTTACTGACCACCATCATCATAAACAGCATCGACCAGTAACATATGGGCTGCTGAATTTAAAAGCTGAGGCAACTGGCTGGGTGAGGTGGCTCATGCCTATAATCCTAGCACTCTGGGAGGCTAAGGCAGAAGGATAGCTTGAGTTCAGAAGTTTGAGACCAGCCTCAGCAAGAGGGAGAACCCATCTCTACTAAAAATGGAAAAATTAGCCGGGTGTCATGGCATGCGCCTACAATCCCAGCTACCCGGGAGGCTGAGGCAGAGGATCGCTTGAGCCCAAGAGTTTGAGGTTGCTATGTGTTAGGCTGACACCACGGCACTCTACTCAGGGCAACAGAGTCAGACTCTGTCTCAAAGAGAAAAAAATTTTTAAAAAGCTGAGGCAATCTACATCTAAGACAGCTCAGTGAACATCATCGATAACAAATTCTATGCTACATGCCTCTGTGTTTGAATATAGTTGGTATAAGATCTCTTTTTAGCTAGTTTAGGCAAGAAAGAAAAGCTGCTATGTTATTTCAAATATCACAAGAGTCTTACCATCAATCTCAGAACCATCTGCTCTTGCTGTATATTTAATTTTTACTCTAATGATAACCACTTCAGAAGCCTTAGAATGTGTACAGAATTCACTGGGGTTAAAAATACTCTCATTGGGTTGTTGGAACTGACTTGAAAATTGAAAAGACATGAGTTCCACCATTAGACTACAAGATGTGACAGTGAGAATAGCTGCTCAAAATTTCTGCAACTATGTGAAACTACTGTTACATTTGTCAAATAGCTTCAACGACAAATGTAAATAGAGATCACCTTTCTTCAGACAGATTTTCTCATTATACTTACCTTTTTAAGATGACCTAATCTGAGTTTGAAAATTTCTTCTTGTTCATGGTATTCTGCTAATGTTAACCTGAAAAGTAATGGTGGATATTTCAGTAAATTATTTTAATTCACAGCGTGCCCATTTAAAGAGAAATGCCCAAGTTTACCATAAGGTATATTCAGTCTCATAGTTAAAAATGAAAAAAAATATAGGTTATTTTGCAGTCCTCTGACAAGAAAAACTTTTGTGATTTATCAGATGTGATGTAAAGGAAGGACTTCAAAACCAGAAGTCTAATTTTTTATGAAAAAAAAGCCACATTTTTACATTGTTTATGAAGTTTTGTCCCAGACATTACTCAGATACAAACTCAATAGTAGAGATAACCAAAAATTGTATGTCTAAAAAATTTTTAAAAATTTTTAAGCTGTAAAACAATAAGCCAATGGATTCATTTATTTATTTATTTTTTTTTTGAGACAGAGTCTCACTCTGTTGCCCTGGCTAGAGTGAGTGCCGTGGCATTAGCCTAGCTCACAGCAACCTCAAACGCCTGGGCTCAAGTGATCCTACTGCCTCAGCCTCCCAAGGAGCTGGGATTACAGACATGCGCCACCATGCCCGGCTAGTTTTTTCTATATATTTTTAGTTGTCCGATTAATTTCTTTCTATTTTTAGTAGAGACAGGGTCTCACTCTTCCTCAGGCTGGTCTCGAACTCCTGAGCTCAAACAATCCGCCCGCCTCGGCCTCCCAGGGTGCTAGGATTACAGGTGTGAGCCACAGCACCCGGCCTGAATTATTCTTGATAACTCTTAAACTTTGATATTATAAAAACAAAGAGAAAGACATAGTCCATAGGCAAATCAGAGTCCAGGATTTGGAGTCTGAGTACTAGCGTTCAAGGCACAAGTAGGCCACTGGCCTTGCACAGGCAACTTTAACCTCTTGATTCAGTTTCCTGAAAACGCAACAAATGATAATACCTCTCTAACAAAGTATTGTGACTATTAAATGGGAATGTGAAAGGAATACTGAAAATCCTATTTGAACCAATTCTCAAAGGACTTACTTGATGGGTATTCACTCATTTCATGTTTTACCTACTTCAATCACATCCTTATATCACAGGAATGAATAAGAAGTGCTATCCTATTCCTCCATCTTTACCTTCTTTACGTTCTAGAAGCACATACACATACTTGAACGTTTTAGACATTACTGTTTAGATATATTCTAAATAGCAGGAAAAAGAGGAAACACCAGGAAGGGGTACAAAACAGAGCCTTTGAGGTCTAAGTCAAAGAAAATAGAAAAAATAAGAAACACATCCAGTAGGGCTGTTACGCTTCTCTCTTCACAGTTGCAGAAATACCTATACCTATTACTCCATTTCACACCAATAAAAAAACAGAGAAATAAAAAATCATGACTAAGAATTCTGTCTGCCTAAAACAGGTCTAATAGGATAATGTGACTCACTCTAAGGTTCTAGAGGCCTGTTTTTGGCTTCTGGTCAAAGGAAAGAGCCAAATCCCAGATACTGTAATTAAAAACTAGACTGAAGGCATTCCAGCTTGGATTTTACATAGGACTCCAGATGGCAACTACTTACTGACACTCTACTGGCCTAGACTGAATTCTAATTATTGATCTGTGGCAAAGAAACAACCTATGCCTTCTTTATCACTCCTAAGTCAGTGGTTTTGTGCACTAGCATTAAATAATTCTCAAGTAATTTAAGGGAAAGTCCCTTCATCAAATAAACACAGGAGTCTTGAAAGAAAACAATGATCAGGTTAATTTGCCTGGAGAATCTTTCAATCTGAGCTCCTACTTAGAACTTGTTGAAAGGAAATACTTAGACTCTAGTTTTAAAACATTTGGAGTTGTAAGAATGAAGATTTTTCTAAGTTTAGTTCTCTATGTACACTTTTATCACTATACTTCAATGTAATTATTAATTTATCTGTTCATCTCCCCTAAATAAATTGTGAGCTCCTAAGGCTGGGGCTGTATTTTTTAGTTCTGTATTCCCAGATCATGGCCTAGCCTAAAACAAGCATTTTACCTAGACTTACTAATTGAATGCCAAGGAAAAGACTTCCCAACACATCAGGTATGTATGGGATGAGGATTGATGTTAAGCCATCTTTCTAGTAGAATAAAGGAAGGTGCATTTCTGGGATGTCACAGACTTTTAACAATGGTGAAAGTATTTTTATACTTCAAGTAGATTATGGGTTAATGTGCTTTTCTGAACTGATACAAAACATAAAAAAGGCAAAAGGGATATACTAGTCAATAAGTTATATAATATTATACCTTTTATTTGTGGTTAACTTTGTATATGAAATTTACTTTCGATTAAAGAGAAAGGAATGGAGAGCATTTGTGCTCTAGATATTCTACTCCTCCTATACATGGTAGCCATGTAATAATTGTTGACTGACAGAGAAAAAGATGACTGTACTGTAATTAAGATACTGGTGTTTTCCTTAGGTTTCCAGAACAGGAAAATATTTTGGTGAGGTCAAGATTTGGCTTATTAGGAAAATGTCCTTTTCCTAAAATAACAGCTATTTCTTTTTTCTTTTTTTGGGGGGGGGGCCCCTTACTCCTAAATTTGTAATTGTTAACTAAATGCTGTTTTGACCAGTAAAGAGCATTCTTCAATCTAAAATAGTAGCCAGGGGCCAGATGTGGTGGCTCATGCCTATAATCCTAGCACTTTGGGAGTCCAAGGAGGGAGGATCACTTGAAACCAGGAATTCCAGACTAGCCTGGGCAACATAGTGAGACCCTGTCTCCAAAAAAAAAATTAATTAAAAAAAATAAAATAAAATAGTACCCAGGCAATCCCTTATAAGATTAATACCAGTGTACCATAACCTAGAGACACATATAAGAAATAGTATCATTTTGACACAATGACATCTTATTTGTTAAAAGAGTGGCCAAAAGTCGTGAGTCATGATGTCAAGTTAAGTGACATTACTTCTTCCCATCATTTCAAACTCCCTAAATAAGGAGCAGGACTAAGGCCAGGCACAGTGTAATCCCAGTGCTTTGGGAGGCCAAAGTGGGAGGATTGCTTGGGGCTAGAAGTTCAAGACCAGTCTGAGCAACAGCGAGACCCTGTCTCTACAAAAAATTTAAAAATCAGCCGGGTGTTGTGATGCACACCTATAGTCTTAGCTACTCAGGAGGCTGACGCAGGACTACTTGAGCCCAGGAGTTTGAAGCTGCAGTGAGCTATGACTGCACCATTGCACCCGAGCATGGGCAACAGAGTAAGACTCTCTCTCTAAAAAATATTTAAATAAATAAATAAAGAGCAGGACTAAGAAAAAGAAGTTGATTTTACATGAGCTGAGCAAATCCATTAACATAAGTAAAAAGAAAGCTTAAACCCAAGTAACCTCCAGAACTGATAATTCTTTCCAGTGGCATTCAATAGGACATTTATATCTGAGGGCAGGGTGTGGTGTCACAGAGTTCACATTAATAAAGAACTTACGTTTCATTTTCAGCTCCGTTGGTCTTGCTTTTCCGCTGTTTCTGCTCATTGGTTGCTGGAGGGGCCTGGCCCATGGCAGGAGGTTTCCGCTTTGCTAACATTTTCCGTTGTCTTTCTATTTCCTCCCTCTGTGAATTTATCCTTTCCTGTTGCCTAGAGGTATAAAAGATGTTGCACAGAGAAAGAAGGTAAAAAAAATTTTTTAGCATAGCTATGGAACAAACACAAATAACTTGTCACCTTCATGTCTGATAAAGTAAGCCGAAAAAAGTAAGCAGAAAAAGTAAGCCCCCTTAAATCAAACAGAGATTTGCTTTTAACCTCAGGTTGTACGAGCCAGATAACTGGTCACAGACTTTTTGCGGAATGAGTCTGTGCTTTAAGATGCTAGTTATGATTATTTTCATAGTGGGAAAGTGGGCAGAAAGGAACATATCAAATTTCTATTGTGACCTTATTTTCTGACTCAAAAGGAACAATTTCCTGATTCCTTTTTAACAGCTAAGAAAACAACTCTCTGGTAAAGATCTGTAATTAAGCAAGGGAAAAAAGGTATAAAATGTTCCAAGTTACTTTTTATTTTTTGTTTGGATTAAAGCTTCCTCAATTTTATCTAGAAAGACACCAAGTTTGTAGGATACTAAAGAAAGTAAATAAGATTTTCTTTTTAGGCCTATCATTTATTCTATTCTAAGTGAGCCGTTACTACCCTACAAGTAATCCCCCACTCATTGATACGGTGACACCTAACCTAAGTTTTTAAAAAAACAAATACA